TTTGCAAAATGATGTATTTTTGATCAAGGTTTGCAGATTGTGTTTCACATTAAAATCACCTGATTGTCATTGCGATTGTACATAGCTATTTAGCATAAGTTAAATATAAAAATAGAAGATTCATAAAATATTAATTCTGTATAAACATTTGAGTTAGAAATCACTTCAAAATTGTGCAAATGGGCGAAAATCAGGAGAATTTGTATGTTAGCTAAGATATACAAATTTTGATTAAAAGTACATCATTTTGCAAACCGTGATAATAGATGTTATATAGGTCATCCAGGTGATTTCTTATACAGGTACAATCTCTACAGATATGAATTTAAACTTTTATATTGTCATATTAAGGATAGTGATAATGATTTCTAGAGAATATTTTATCAAAAATGGGAATAAAAGACCAACTATCTTGGTGAAAAAGATGAAAAATTACAATAAAGTAGTAGGTAGCTATAATTCTCGGAAATGAATTTAAAACTACTCATTATAATTATAGTTTTTTTTTTATTTATAAGTAATTACGCTATTAGTTGTTATGAAAAATATTAGTCACCCGATTTGTCACGCAGATCACGGGATAAATTTTTTACTATGAAATTTTAATGATCGACATCTATATGAATAGGCCTAATTTTAATAGTAAATTGCAATTTTTACCTACTTCAGACTGCTGATTTCAAGGTTTCTTAAAAGGAAACAGTATTTAAGGGATGTAGTATGTACAATTATTCAGAGAAAATTCTACATCGTTCGCAAATTCAAAGTAAGATAAAAACTAAACCTGAGAAGGATTTAGCTACCAAAGATCACTTGTTGTTTCATATTATTTAAATATTATAAAACCCATGTATAGTCAGATCTCCCTAAGTGCACCCTTCCTAAATGCACGTTATATGAAAAACCTCTCTAAATGCACGCATGACTTGGTCCTTATTTATTAGAGTTCTGTATATTTTGCTCTTCATGAATGCACACTCTCTGTAAGTGCACATTTTGTTTTTTTTTTTACTATAGTTCGAGAGGGGAGGTTTGACTATATGAAGCTTTTTTTTTAGTTCTAGCAGTACCGATTTATTAACTGTTAATATTGTTGATACTATGACGAACTGTTGTTTTTGGTAAAAAAGTTTAATATTCAAATTTATTGTTTTTTGACATTTTCTTAGAATAATTATTAATATCGGATTAAATTATTTTATGCTAGTTGAATATTTTTTCTTTTATTATTATTGTATGAGAAATATATATTTAATAAAAATAATTCATGATTAATAAATTACCTATTATTATTATCAAATATTTATTAAGTTTATTAAACATAATTTACAAAATTAGATTTCTAGGCACTACGTAGTAGTAATACATTGCAAAAAATATTGTCAAAAAACTAAAATTAATTTCGGGTAATACCAATCTAAGACCAAAAATAGTTTAGGATCTCAGTAAATCAAAACGCATAGACCGAAATCCAAATTAAGAAAGACCGAAATCCAAATTATGAAAAATCGAAACCCTTCAAAAAAAGATGTCTCGGCCTTAATATTTATAAAATATAACCATTACATATTATTGTCGTGGTCTGAATCTCCTATTCAAAGTTTCCTTAATAAAAGTTTCATTTTAAATATAAATCGCCAAGTCTGAAAATACAAAATACTTGTACTTAACATGTATAAAATTAATATAAATACTGGCCTTAAAATTTCTAGTTAACCCATTCGATTTCACAAATTATTGCAATCTACTATAATATCTATACAATATACATTTCCCATTCAGAGTGATAGTATACGTGATTTAAAAAAAAAAAATTAGTTTTGTTCGAATTATTTAAAAAAAAAAAAAACTAATAGAAAAAAATATTTATAAAACTTTGATCGATCTTGAAGAAATTCAAGATGATTCCATAGAAGAAGCTTCGTTTGATCTTGAAGAGGAGATTAGTGATAATTCTATAGAAGAAGCTTCGTTTGATCTTGAAGATATGCGTGATGATTCTAGTCAAAAATCATATGATGAATTTCTTGTCTATGACTGGCATTCACTAAAAAAATTACAAAAAAAAATAACTAAATCGATTGAAGAATCAGTGGATAAACTCTCTGAAAGTGATAGTGAATTCTTTGAGAGTGATAATGAAGTGGAAATATTAGAGAGAGAATTTGAAAAGCAAATTCCTCCTTCTGAGAGCAGTACTGATTTTACACGTTACGTTGTTATTGATAATAATGATGATTCAAACATAATTCAAAGGTGCAAAAACATGAGCAATCTTAATGTAATTCAATTAGCTGGTACGTAGGAAATTTGTTCTAATGCCATACAAGAAGCCGGTGATAAATTCTAAAATTAAAAATTTGCACTAGTCACTTCAACTACGATCAAAAAAATATACACAAAGGCGTGAAGTCTGTAAAGTCATCTGAAATCAGTATAGTAAACTCGCGCCGCTGTCTCTTTTGCAATAAACTTAAATGCTTTCTTACATGAGATGAAACATATGCATCACATATATGGAAGGTGTGTGAACGCACAATCCAGGCTCTATGTCGAGAATTGTTCAACTGTCCTGCCATTGCTGAATATGATAAGTAGTCAAAGAAATCATTTGACAGTAATAGACCCTGATTTATTTGTACCAACTACTTTGTAATTCATGGAGGTCACTTACAGAGTCGTCTGGGAAAAGGATATCGTCCAGCTTCATGTCTGGAACAAGGACAACACAAGATTGATACTAAATCTTCCTTGAAGTTTTTTAGTAAATGGATTGAACAAATCGCTGAATCTAAAAATGAAACTGTAAAAGTTAACTTGTTAAAAGAACTTGTTAAACTTTCAATAACATTACCACTGACCCACTTGAAGAACAGAACATTGTTAATTTTCTTTCTACAGCTTCTTCACTTCCGAGTCCTCTTCTAATAAAAATAGTATTTGCGATTAAAAAGATTAAAGTTAATGAAGAAGAAATACTATCATTAACAAACACTAATTGCAAAGCCTTTGGAAGAACACTTGCTCACTCCATGCTACAGGAACGACCTGAGCTCAAAAAAAGGTTGTCGTCACTTGAAGAGCCAAAATCTTTAATCGAATACAAAGATGCTATGCCATCACTTCTTATGAATTTTTTTATTAGCTTAATTTCAGCTATAAAAGAGAAAAAAATGCAAGTGTTAGCCAGAAAACGAAGAGAAAGAAACATGCCTCCACCACAGTCAGAAGAAAAAAAAATAACTCTAATTTCTCTTTTCTTCATTTCTGTTATACTTACTATTGCATTTCGACATTTGAAAATATGGTTTACACATGTTTTTTCTTCTCTTTGTCAGTGGCCAAGAATGATAGGATCTTTATATAAAATCCTTCATGCAGTTCAGGTATTGTCAAATGTTAGGGATCACGAAGTACATTTCCAAAAAAAAAGAATGTCAGCTGCAGAACCTCAGTTGAGACTTAACCTAAGCCCAAATATTTTGAATATTGCAGCTATCGATAATATTGACATGAAAAACAAAACCTTTCAATACGGCAACATTTTTGACGCAGTTCACACTACTGCATATGCAACTGTGCGAATAGTTTTTCAATTCCAATATTCAGAGCTGGTTAATTTGAATAAAGAATTGACAGAAACTCAAAATCTATTTGGCGTAAGTTCAATCATGGAAAAGTGGCAAACAAACTTAGATAGGGTTTTTAGCCAACTAATTAGCCAAGAATCAAAGTTTGGTATCAAAGACGTTGATGCAGCTATTAGAAAAAACATTAGCTCGGCGTTATTCGTAGCACCTCCAAATGTTGTAATTCTTGAACCTGGAGAGCTCTAAGCAAAAACGAACATGTCCACAAAACCGTTGATATGTTTCTAGAGGATTTTGGTTATACGGAAAATAATATGTTAAATTTGGTATGTGACGAAGCGATCTATCGTCGCATGAAAGATTACAAAAGCGAGGAACAAACTGTGCATTGTATTCTAGGGCAATAGCATACAAACAAAGCAATGTGCAGTGCACTAATCTCTGCCTTTTCTGGTTATAGACTTTTTGGTCTTGCTGCATGTCTTGGTGTTAAATTTCTTGATAAACTTGAACAAGTTGCTGACTATCGAGCAACATTTCGAGTACTAGAGCTCATTTTACAGCAGTGGGAGTTGCAATTCATGAATATATTAAAGAAAAAGATATTTCTATTAACAATATTCCTCAAGAAAACAACAATCTTTTAAAAGTGTGGTATAATTTTTATTGGTAGGCAGGATACCTGAAATTACACAAGTATAGTATTCGGATGGTGAACTTTGATTTACAAATGCACAGCTTGATGGCATTCGCTCCTATATTTCCTATTACACAGAAATATAGATATACTGAGTCTGTAGCACGATTTATATTGGATCTACATAATAAACTACAACTTCTTCAAGATCTTCACCTAGTGCCCTCAATTAATCTAACGCAAGAAGGGCATTACTTCGCTTTCGATGAGGCTTTTGAAACATTCAGAGTAAAGTTTCTAAAAGAAAATATGACCAGTCAGACAATGAATTTAGAAAATTTAAAACTAAATATAAAAGCAGCACAAGCAGAATATGATCTACTTAATTTGTTAATTTCAGAATTTGTCGAAGATCAGTCAGTAAGCAAAAGCCTACGGTCCGTTAAAGATCACAAAGAAACACTTTGGAAATTAATTGATGAACTCAAATTAGAATTTAGTAGCCAATAGCCAGAATCTCACGCATTATTTGCAGAAACTACACAATTAACAGAGAGTGGTTACTGACAAATGTTTACCTATTATGAAATAGGAATCGAACAACTGAACAATATCGTTAAGCAAGATACCTCTACACAAAAAGAAAAAAAAAAATTTAAACACGTTTAGTACCTATGAAGGTGACAAAAAATAGAAAACGTGTAATAGCAGAAGCTGGCTATATAGCTGAGGAAGTGGTTAGTGAGCCCATACAGACAGAACTAAGTGAGGACATGGAAATTGAAGAAACACATGAAGACTTACAATTGGTACCATCGTCTACAACTAATCTATCTTCAGGATCCACATCTCAAACATCGTATCTAAGAAAACGCCCAACACATAAGCCCACAAGCGCTGAAGAAGAAATCCTAAAACAACTTGAAGAATATAAAGATTCTACTGTATTACCCGCGGAAGTCCTTAATGAGCTGGTTCAAAGTTTATCGAAACATACTGATTATTGGACTCGAAAGCGAATTTGGGATCGATGGTATAACCGATATAAAAGAGTATAGAGTTTATTATAATATTATCCTACAATTGAATGAAATAAATTTAATTTAGTTTAAATAAATAAATATAATTGAAATTATTTTAAAAAAACCTTTCGAAGGTGAAATTATTAAATTATAAAATAAAAGACATCTCAATAATGAGTGATCTACTTAGTGTAAAACAGTTTTCTTTGATTTTCTTCACTACATTCATAATGCACCCGCCTTTCAAGGATGCATTTTGGCGAAAGCTCTCGCTTCGATGCATCTAGTGATCTATTTTTTATGTTGCAAATTTAAGAGCCTGAGAAGGATTTGACGGAAGTAGGCAAAATAATTGCCACTTTCAAGAGAGTAGTATTTCATAGGGATCTGTTCAATTTTTATAATATTCGTACCGTTTGATCCGTAAAAACTCCAGCATTAATTTTATTTTAAGAAGTGTTGTGTATTTAGACTAAGGCTTTAGAAAAAATTTAAAAAATGCAATTTCGTAGATTTGTGTAACTTTTGAAATTCATATGATAAAAATTTAGATGTGACAAATCGGGTGACTGATATTTGGCAATGGTGATTTACATTGCATGTACGTATTAGATAATTCTTACCATTACATTGAAAGTTTAAGTCAAAGTCATATGATCCTTTGAAAGAAAATGGTAATTTTATGTTTAAGAATTATGAAGTATTCCGGGTGATTAATATAACCAGTTTATGAGTTTATATGTAAATTTTAATTTTGTATAAATAAAGAATAATATTAAATAAAAGAAAGATAAACTTAA